CCTCCCAGGGTGCTGGGTTTACAGCCCTGCACTATCAGGCCTGACAGCAGTTAAGGCTTTTTGCAGCTTTCCCCCCAGCAGCCACCTTGGCCAACTCCTTCATGCCTGCACCACAAGGAGGAAAGCTTGCTCCCAGCTCTGCCTGACTCCCGCTTTCCCCTGACAGCTGCAGAGGAGGCCTGTGGAAAACCTGGTACTTGTGAGGCCAGACCCCCACATGTCTGGAAGACTACCCAGCTACTCTAAACTGATGCGATAGCCCACGTGTAGACTTCGGATCTTTTTTTTTCTTTTGGTACCAGGGATTGAACTCGGGTCCTTGTGCTTGTGAGGCAGGCGCTGGAACCACTGAGCTAAATCCCTGGCCCAAGACTTTAGATCTTTAAACATTTTTGTGGGTTTCTTCTTTCCCACTTGTGTGACAGCCACTCTATTTCTGCCAGAGTTGAAGCAGCTCGTGTGTCCCAGCTCTCCATGGACTGGCTTTACAACACTTGGTTGCCTTGTGACCTCGGGTATCTGAGGAGCTTACTGTTAGGGTGTGAGTGACATTTTTCCTGAGCATTCTATATCCTAAATGATCATCGAAGTCCTCAAGTCACGATCACCTCTTTCTTAGACAACTGTGACCATCTCACAGCTGGACCCCTGCACCTATTTCTGCTTCTCTCCATGCCATAGATAGCATGAGTCCTAAAACTCTATAAGCATTAGAAACTAAAGGGGGCTGCACCATAAAATACCTGACGTTAGCTGCATAAAATCTGTTGTTTGACTGTCTTGTGAGGCTAGGGATTGAACCAGGGACCTCATGCATGCTAGGCAAGCACTCTACTACTGAGCTACATCCCCAGCCCCTTTTATATTGTAGTTTGAGACAGGGTCTTGCCAAGTTGCCCAGGTTTGGCTCAAACTTTGGATCTTCCTGCCTCAGTCTCCTAAGAGGCTGAGACTTCAGTTGTGTGCTACCATGCCCAGCTAAATGCTGAAGTCTGGGTCAAGGTTACTGGTTATTTGTTGTAACAAATCAAACCTAAATTTAGTGGGTTAAGCTATGACATTTATGTTGCTCATGAATTTGCAGAAACATTACATTGGTCTCTGTTCTCCTTGGTGTCACAGGGCAGGCTTGAAGGCCAGGGATAAAGTCATGTGAGTGGAAAGAGAGAAAGGGAGAGGGAAGGAGATAGAGCACATGGAGAGCTGTTATGACCCACCCTCAGAAGTCACATTACTTATTGTCAAGACAGCTGCACAGGTCTGCCAGGTTCAAAGGGAGGGAACATTGACCCAACATCTCAGTGGAAAAGTGTCTGCATCACATTGTAACATGTGTGGGATGTGGCATACAGATATGGCCATCGTTGGAAAATACTATCTGCCATGCATGGTTATATTCGTTATGTAGCCTTGAAAAAAATAAAATAAATCGAGGTAGAAAATAAAAACAAAGAGCCAATTATGGTGGCACACACCTGCTCAGTGCTTAGGAGGCTGAGGCAGGAGGATTGCTGCAAGTTTGAGGCCAGCCTGGGTTACATAGTCTAAGGCCAGCTTCAACTATATAGTGAGACCTTGTCTCAAAAAACAAAAAAGAAAGAAAGGAAGAAAGAAAGAGAGAAAGAAAGAAAGGAAGAAAGAGAGAGAAAAGCCAGGAGCCCTCGAAGTGCATCACTTCATGTAGACATATCATGCACACTTATGAATAATTTGTACACCCCAATTAATTTACTCAGGTCAGTACCACAAAAGCCGTAACTTTCTTCCTAAATATAAATCTGGTCGCATCACTGCCCTTCTTAAAATGGCCCATTAGCTCCCTGGTCTCCCATAGTAAATTCCCAACTCTTTGCCATGGTTAGAAAGCCCTTCACAGGTAGCCTTGTTTATTAATCTAACCTCACCTCCTGTCACTCCTTTGTTCTCTATGTTCCAGCTGCACTGAACTACTATGATCCTCCGAACTTTCTTTCACTTTGAGGCCTTGGCTCCTGCGGTTCTCCTCCTCTGTGATGCTATTTGGCCCCATGGTCTTAGCTCTCTGTCTCATCTCACTGCTTCTCAGCTTCCCTGATGCTGCCTCTCTCCTACCTGCCCTGACTGGGTTAGGGTTTGTGCCTCTCCACCCCAAGGGCTCTCCCAGCAGCCCAACATGCTCATGGGCAGGCCTTCCTGCCCCTTCAGCACTCTGTGCAGGAAGGCAGGGTTTGGTTTTGTTTACCACTCTGCCCATGACAGGAGCTCCACAGATACTGGTTAGATGAATCTGTGCCCTAAATTACCCACCCCTGGACTCAAGTAAACAGCCCTCCCACAAACCTCTGATTGCTTTAGCAGAGTCCTGTCTTGGATCTTGTAGCTGAAATAGGGCCAAAGCCGGTTGGGGTAATTTAGAATTTTCAAGAAAATGTTTTTTTCATGTAGCTGGGGCTCTCCTCAGACTGGGGACTTACTCCAAGGCAGTGCCAGAGGGAGTGTACCTTCCCACTTCCAGCTGTCATCCTGTGGGCAGCCAGCCTGGGAGGAACACACCTCACCACTGCTGGTGGAAAGTTTTTCTCACAGCCCTTCGTTGTGAGCCCATTTCTGGAGCAAGTACTGGATATAAGCCTGTGCTGTCCCTGCACCAAGCTCACCAACACTGGGTGGTGAGAGCATGCGCCGAAAATGAACAGTGTCAGTCACTACCTTATCACCCTGGCTCCAAACCCACCCTTTTCTGGGTACCGGGTCATTCCTGCTTTGCTTCGGTTGGTAGTTACCCTTCACTGGCTCTGGGCTTTAGCATGAAATATTACTATTTGTTCTAACTTTCTGACTCTTTCACTCAGGACACAAGGAAGGAAGAAGTGATGAGGCGCTCCCAACTTGTAAATTTTACTGATTTGAGTACGTCCTCACTGGAGTTCCTTAGCATTTTCAGGGCCAAAGGAAACAGATTGACATTTTGGGCCAATACTATTTTTCCTATTTACTGAAAGGAACTTGGAACACAAAGAAGTCATTTGACTTATTCATGCCCATACAATAAGCCACAAGACAAAGACAGCACCCAAGTTCAGTGCTACCTCAATAGCCCAAGTTAAATCTATACAAATGTTAGCTTTGGGAGTCAATATCAAATTTAGTTTTGGTAAATGGAGTTTCTTTTTTTTAGAGCCGTCACTTAAGATGTCACCTCTAAGTCAAGTGAACCACAGTTATAATGAACTGGGATCGTTGTGCCTCTCGAAGGGTTAACACTGAAGGTGGCTGGGGATCAGGGGCATCCTCTCCCATCTCCACCAGGTTCTCCTCTCCGTCAATGCCCAACCTTCTCACACAAAAATGTCCTCTGCTGAGGCAGTAAACAGGAGGTAGGAGAAAGAGAAGGCTAGACTCTTGCCTCAATCATAGAAATATACTTTCTGGTACAGAAACATTCTCTTACTACCCAAGGACCAGCCACTTTGGGAGAGTGTTTTGGGACCTCATCAATTTTTTTACTTAAATTGTTGTTACCAAGGAAGAATTTTTGTTTATCATACAGAATGAAGAAAAATCTTAAAAAAAAAATCGATCCATCCAGCTGAACATCATCAGATGGCCCTGGAGAAAAAGTGAGGTCCAGCATCTGTATCACAGTCAAAGATGGCAGCCTGAAATCTCTTAAGGCCAGCTGATTGTCCAGTGTGGTGGGATCCTCCAAGTTCCCCAGCCACATAATATCATTTTTATGTTTTTTGTTGCTGTTGTTGTTTTGGTATTGGAAACTGAACCCAGGGTATTCACACTGAGCTACACACCCAGGCCTTTTTAAAATATTTTAAGACAGGGTCTCATTAAGTCACAAGTTGCCCAGGCTGGGCTTGAACTTGTAATCCTCCTGCCTCAGCCTCCCAAAGTGTTGGGATTACAGGTGTGCACTACCATGTTTGGCTTTAGGCTATATTCTATGTCAAAGATATCCTGCTAATCAAAGTAGTAGGAATAGGGCCCGAGGATTTAGCTCAGTGGTTCCAGTGCCTGCCTCGAAAGCGCAAGGTCCTGAGTTCAATCCCCGGTACCAAAAAAAAAAAAAAGTAGTACGAATAAAGCTAACACAGTCAGTCAATTAAAAAAAAAAAAAAAGAGTAAAAAAAAGTATATCTGGAAATTATAACAAAAATACTCATATCGTTAAACAAGTATATGAGATCATCTAGTTGGCTATCCTTTTGTGTAAGGCAAATACTTGATTTAGAAATAAGCCAATGAGCCAGGTGTGGTGGCACACACCTGTAACCCCAGCACTCAGGAAGCTAGGGCAGGAGGATCGCCATGAACTCAAGGCCAGCCTAAACTACATAGTGAGACTCTGTCTCCAAAAAAAAGAGCCAATGTTCTCCAAAGATTTTTATAGCCACCCTGTTCATCATCAGGGATTTGGAAACTGTTACCAAAGAAGAAGCCTCAGAATCCTACCCTTAGAACACCAAGGTTTGGATTATCAAAGGGCACATGTTAAAAACAGGAGGGTAGCAAAGGCCACCAGCTCCCCTGCACAGCACACATCTGTCTTCACCTCCCCACTGCATCCCTCTGGGAGAACTCTGGTCAACAGCACTACACAGTTACTCTGATGAGAAAGTTTCATATGGACAACACATACTTCTTTTTTTTTGGTACTGGGAATTGAACTTGGGCCCTTGTGCTTGCGCAGCAGGCAGTGAAACCACTGAGCTAAATCCCCGGCCCCATACTTCATATTTTTATATGAACAAGGACACCATAAAAAAGAGGAAAATGCAGGCTCAGCCAGAAAAGCTGCCACAGAACAAGTCTGGAACTATTCAGGAGTAGTGTCAAACACTAAACTGTATTTACAAGTCTAATTTGGAAATCAGTGCAGGAGGAAGTTGGGGGATAAGATATGCATGAAATAAAAAAACTCTTATCTATGCAGATATAGATGCCCATGGTTTCACAATTCTTTCATTCATTTTCTCCACAAGGAACAAATCAGACAAAGGAAAATCCAGTCTCTTTCCCAAAGTCTCTTTTTACTAAAGATTTCTTAGAGAAAGCCCACATGGGCTTAGTTCCCAGGAGGCCAACTTTGCACTCCCTGGCCCCACTTGCCCCGACAATAAACCCAGGGGATGTTAAGGACACAGGCACCCATATTCAGAAGAGGCCAGGAAAACTATGGCTTGCTTAATGTATGGATTATACATCAGGGCATCCGTGCTGCCAAGCACTTTAACACTCAGTTCTTCATTAGGTCCTCAGCAGACTTCTAGCTTGTAGCACCAGGGCTCCAACAAGCCAGGAGACATTGAGGAAGGCAGAATTTTGTTCTTTTTTGTGGTACCGGGGATTGAATTCAGGTCCTTGTGCTTGTGCAGCAGGCAGTGAAACCACTGAGCTAAATCCCCGGCCCATGGAAGGCAGAATTTTGATCCAGCATGTGCTGGTCAATTATTCCACCCAAGACAGTCACACAGGTCAGCACCAAGCAAGTCCTCATGGCTTGTATGCCTTGTGGAAGTTTGGACTTTTCCCCTCCCTGGATTTCTCTTTGCTGCTGCCACCAGTGGGCTCTCGGCTGCTCCCTCTGGATTCCAGATAGCTGCCGTGTGTGTGTGCGTGTGCGTGTGCGTGTGCGTGCGTGCGTGCGTGTGTGTGTGTGTGTGTGTGTGTTTTATTGTTCTGCTGCTGCTGCCTTGTCCTCGGCTGCTGGCTTCTCAGCCTGTGACTCTGGAGGGATCAGGCATTGGACTTCCTCTGTGTTGATGGCTACTTTATCTGGCTGCAGCCACCTCTTGAAATGTTCCAAGGTGCTGTGAAAGAGCAGAAGAAAAGGGTGGCTATATCATTCCTCACGATTAATTACTTAATGATTAGCTTAGTTACTCAAACACTGCCTTCCCGCCCATCACCAATTTCTTCCTACAATTGTTTTTTCACTGCTGACATGGGGAGAGCAGACGCACTCCTCTGACAGCTGTGCATCCTGGCAGCTGGGAGGTATAATTTACCCCCTAGAGGGCACTTTGGCTATAAGCAGCACCAGGCCCCCTTTGCACGTGGAGCCTCGGAAGGCTTAATGAGAGTAACTGAAGAGCTTATGCCTTGGTCCTATCTTTTTTCCTCAAAATTGAAAGAAACTGTCAAGGGGAGGAAACACTGGAACAAATGCCAAATTATCAGTGAGGCAGAACCTGAGCATCTTTAAATCTCTTATACTTGAAGCTGTTTGAGGCTCAGTTTTACATATGGTACAGTACTTATTGTAGGAAGGGCGATTTTTTGTGTGAAGGTTGTTTATTTCACCCCTAGCAAGTCCCCAAGATAGAAACATTTGAGCAGCAAATGAAATTTGCAATTCCTACAAAGGAATGGCCAGTATGCTGTTTTGTTTTGCTGTGTAGAGGGGAAGTGTGACTGTCAGGGTCATGCCCCTCTCCAACCTCCCGTTAGTACCCAGGGTCCTACACCCTATAGCTATTAGGCATTCACAGTAAAATATAAGTGACTAGAAATAATATGAACCTCATCCATACTCCTTAGTAGCACAAAGCCATAACTGCAGATGAGAGACACTGGTCAGTGTATGGTGGAATTATTTTTCAGGTAGTTGGATTTCTTAGCCCATTAATTCCTTGCCAAAAGCATACTACAAGAGTCACCTACCTAGTCCACACAGTCCCCTGCAAAATGACCTCTGTTTAAAACATAAGCTTTAAAGTTTGAAAACAAATGCACAACTACTATTTCCTGGTGTTCTGAACAATGATAGAAGCACTCCCACAGATGGAGGTGCAGGGAGCAAGCCCAAACATCAGAGGGGAAAGTGAACAGCTGATTGGCTCTTGTGCCCACATCTTAGCAGAATCACGTGTGACAGAAACATTTAGCTATTGTTCAAATTATTTCTACAGAAAAAGGAAAGCAGCTGGATATGGTGGTGCACATCTGTAATCCCAGCATTCAGGAGGATGAGGCAGGAGGATTTCTGCAAGTTTGAGGCCAGCCTGTACTACAAAGTGAGACCCTGTTTCAAAAACACCAAAGGGGGAAAAAAAAAGATGAAGAAAAAGAAAAAAGAAAAGAAAAGGGAAGCAAGCCAAGCATGATGGTACAGGTCTGTAATCCCACCACTTTGGGAGGCTGAGGCAGGAAGATCCCAAGTTTGAGCCCAGCTTTGGCAGCTTAGCAAGACCCTGTCTCAAAAAAAAAAAAAAGCTTGGTGATGTAGCTCAATGTGAAAAAAAAAAAAAAAAAAGCTTGGTGATGTAGCTCAATGTGAAGGTCCTGGGTTCAATCTCTAGTACAACAAAAAAGGAAAAAAGAAAGAAAGAAAAGGGAAAGAAACAAATTATTTTAGGTATGGGTGCTCAGAAACATGCTGAGCTGATTTTGGAGAAAGCATTCCTGTGGAGAATTATGGAGGAGTTTTGTCTTCTCGGAACTGGACTGGATGGCAAAAGAGAACCAAATCTGAAAAGCAATCTGCAAAGAAATGAGTTTTCCAATTTCCCCCTCTTTTCTTTTATGGCTTCACCCAGAGGACAAGTTCCAGTCCTGAAGCCATATGGCAGAGCAGCAGCATGAATAACTAAAATTCTTATAGAAGACTAATCTTTCTACCCAAGTAAAGAGTCACAGAACCCTGAACATCCATGACCTACAGATAACAGCAGCCAGAGGTCAGAAAAGCAAACCACCTGGAATTGGCACCTGCCTGGCTGTCTGATGCACCTCCCCCAATCCCTGGGTAAGTCTTGCTCCTGCAACCCCCAGGTAAGATGGTTTTTATCCACAAAAGCGTCCATCTTTTTTGGTTTGCTAGCTTTGCTAATAACCCCCATCACCCTCACCAAGAACTGGAATGGAGGGTAATATTGATGGGTGGGGAAGATACAAGTAAATACCAAATTATTAGTGGGTCAGGAATCTATACATCTTTACATTTCTTATTTGTGGGGCAGTTTGACCCTTCATTAGGTTGAGCCTTTGGAGATGGAAAAGGCCAAATTTATATTATTTTCTTTTTTTTTTAAATTAAATTTTTATTATTTTCTGAGCCCTCAAGGTAGTTAGACTGACCGTTGATGCCACACTGATTTCTGATGGATCTGGAGACATGCTGATTCAATAATTGAGATAAGTGAACGCACACTGTAAATTAAAAAGTAAAATGTAACTTTTTTTCTTTGAGACAGGGTCTCCAGTTCAGGCTGGCCTTGAACTCATTATGTAGCTGAAGCTGTCCTTCAACTAACTATACAGCCAAAGCTGGACTTGAACTTGCAGCACTCCTCCTGCCTCAGCCTCCCAAGTGCTGGTATTACCGGCATGAGCCACTACACCCAGCCAGTAAAATGTAACTATGAAGTTTTAGTCACATACTATCCTTGATTTTAGCAGCAGCATCTTCATCTGACTTGATGGGACCCTCAAAATCAGTGTTACTGATATGATGCAAACTTAGGTTAAGTCATATCCCCCTAAGACCTTTTGTTAAAATTCAGGTTTTCACTCTCTACACCAATTTTTTAAAAAATATGTCACAAGACATAAGACCAGAAAAAGTGGTTTTAATTACTAGTGATGGAGCACCATGCATGGTGGAAGCACCATACATTATGGAGGCAACATCTAGTTTCACGAAGTTCTTTCTTAAGAAGAAAAACATCCAGTCACTCAGTTTCACTGTCATACATCAAGAAGCTCTTTGTGCTAGGGAAGGCCGCAAAAAATTAGACAATATCCTCAAAGATGGTGAATTACATCATTGCTCATGCTTTTAATTTTTGACAGTTTCAAGCACTTGATGAGGTTTGGGCACAGTACAATGCTTTAGTTAATGTACAATAAAGTCCAGTGGCTGAGCAGAGGATGAGACCTAGAGAGAGATCTGTAGCCTGCATGGATGAAATTAAGTGGTTTAGGGCCCGGGGATTTAGCTCAGTGGTTCCGGCGCCTGCCTCGCAAGTGCAAGGTCCCGAGTTCGATCCCTAGTACCAAAAAAAAAAAAATTAAGTGGTTTGTGAATAAAAAAGGGCAGGAATGTCCACAGCTCAATAATATGGCCTGGCTTAACAAAATTACTTTTTTTTTTTTTTTTACACATTTTGACATATTACACTTTGATGTACTAAACAAAAAGCTACAAGGTGTAGGGAAAACAGCAGAAAGGATATAAAAACATTTGTGATATCAAAATATTTGAGAGGAAACTGCAGGTTTTTGAAAGAGACCTTGAAAGTAGGCAGCTGCAATATTTACCAACTCTAAAATGCATTTAGAAAATTCTACATCATTTGCAGACAATCCTACAAGCCATCAGGAAATCTACAAGGAATTTTCTAGTACTAGAGCAGCTGCAAAGAAGAATTTTAGTAACAGATTTTTTTTTTTTTTTTT